ATGAAATACTCAATAAAAAAAATTACAAACCGCAGACATAGTGGAGCATACGATATTCGTCTTTATTGTGACGCAAAAGAGGCCACACTGCCTCGATCGATGCCATGGGAACTCTGGGAGACGGTAATGAATGTTGTTTTATAATTTCCATTCGAAGTCTCATTTGCATCCGGAATGAACTTGTTTATGTTGCCATGTTTGCATATTATACAATTTACATTGGACAATTGGAAGTGATTTGTTAATTGCCTCGAATGACGTGAAATCGTTAAGTATTCAGTCTAACCAAATATCTTTGAGGTTACGCAAAACAACGATTTATTTTGACAAATTATGATTTCATGATGAAAGACAGCCTTTATTGAGTTCAATTTTGGCTTTGTATATCGGACGTTTAGTATATCTTACTGATTCTGTAAGGTATTCATACTACTGTCTCTATATGACAAACTGTTACTTTAAAGATAATTTTACCTAAAACGTGTATAGTTCGTATACATACAGTAAAATATTAAAATTATTTTTTGTACCTTACCATCACAACATTCTTGCCATTTAAAAATTAAAGCATTTGAGTAATAAACATAGATAACAGTGATGGTAAGTAAACGTATCCACACATTGAGAATATATTGCCATTTACACAAAATATATTACCATTTATGTATTATATATTACGAAAACTGCAATCAGTAGAAACCACGATTAATGATTAAAATAAATCGAGCACTATGAACTAAAAACTAAAGATAATTGAAAAGCTGATTTTAAATTTGAAGAAGTATATTGAAATAGAAATATCTTTGAAATGGAAATGTATTACGCCACTTAGTATTGACGGGTACAATGTTCAATTCTAAGATACATTGTGGAAAAAAATTCTGTGTAACCTAGAAAAGTGATAATGTTTTCTTTACAAATTAGAACGTTTTTAAAACTTGTTTCCCATTTCAATATATTTATTTATTTATTTATTTACACACTTTTTTGTACTAACTGGTACAAACGGCGGGCTTAATGCCATAAGGCATTTTCTACCAGCCAACCGGAAAGTTAGTGAGAGAGAAGTGTAGGTGCTAGCTATATAAGCTATATATATATATATATTAGACTGATATGATCCGCAATATAATAATCCTACCAATATTAGGATTATTTGTATGTACGAGTAGGTCTTAATTTGGGTGGCAACAGATAAATTCAAATAATACATGTATTATTATCGTCGGTCTCATTGATTTTCGTTCATTCGAATTATTTTTTTACCATGTCAACCCCGTCCAATATTGTACAGTAAATTAAAATTACGAAAGAAGTTATCCGTTCTGTATTTAGCTCGTACCGGGACACTACCAAACATTGCGCATCCCGAGTAAAGGCCCATTTACACGATGCCATTTTCTGGTACATACAAGAGCAATAATTGAATGCAATAAATTGCGCGCAATAATTGTTTAGACCATTTGTTGTTTAGACCATGCAACTCATTTATTGCTTCAATTTAATTGTATACAACAGGCAAGAAACTGGCACCATGTAAATGGGCCTTTAGTCTTGTTCACGTATTGACAGGTGCATGATTTATGAATAATAAACAGCGACGGCACGCCGACATATTGTTCTAAAATTATCCGATTCGTGTCGGGTTTATGGGGCACGGCTTTGTACAGTTTTATAGCTAACGTCTCAGACGTTTGGTTAGCGTGTAAATTTACGTAGCACGTGTGCGCTTTACCTTATTAAATATAGATAATGTACACATAACTGTATCAAAGTTAGTTAAACACTAGTTATGCTTTAATAATAATAATAATAATAATATGCTTTATTGTACACCAAAAAAGAAAAAAGTACAGAACTAAACAAAATATTTATCAAATATTGGTCATCAAAAGGCGACCTTATTGCTACACAGCAATTTCTTCCAGGCAACCTCAGAAATGAATCCAAAGAAATTCTTATTGGGTAGGATGTACATGAAATTAAGTAAAAAGTAAGTTGCAACAAAAATTAAAGTAATAAGAAAAACATACCTCTTGTGTGTGATCATCAAAGTAAGAGTGAAATAAAAAGAGAAGAAAGACATCGAGAGATAGAAAGGAGCTAGACAGAGAGATAATGCTTCTTAACCTGTCTTTTAAACGAATCTAGGGTTTGAGCACGTTTAATAGCCAAAGGTAAAGAGTTCCAGAGTTTAACAGCGACAGCAGAGAAGGATTTATGGTAAAAACTAGTTGATCGCAAAGGATTTTTAAGGAAGAGGTTTTCATTTGAACGTAGAGGAAGGTTATGAGAAGAGCAAAGAAATTGAAAACGTTCCTTCAAATAATCCGGACTTGATACATTAAATAGGACGCAGTAAAGAGCAGAAAGAATATGAGTATTCCGGCGAAAACGAATCGGGAGCCACTTGAGCTTGCTTTTTATGCTTTATTAATTTAAAGAAAAATAAAGAAGGACGCTGAGGTTATTCGCGGGTTTTTCTAAAGTCAACGGCTTTTATTTTCCGAACATGAAGTAGTATTTTTACAATCCTTAAGTAAGCGTAATGTCTATGTTAAATAATTGATATTTTCATTTAATAAGAATGTATGATGGCATTTTTACCGGTATATCGAGAACATATTTAATTTTAAATTTTGTATATACGGGTTTGAAATAAAATTACATTTTTTTTCTTTGACTTTAAGAAAATATCATAAAGCGTTTGTGCTTAATAAATAAAACATTTATCATATTGTGAACACTTAATAAATTCGTAATGGACGTCGCCGGGATAATTTCGATATTAATGATAATTTGACATTGCATTAGAGAAGCGCATATTAAAATTACTTTATTGCCCCCATATATTACTCAATTACAAATAAAACATTTACCCTTTCCATAAAATCTATATCGACATGGGATTTCGTCTGCTTGAACTAATTAAGTGTCTTAAATTATGTAAATTATTACACAGTTCCCAACTGTCTCCATTAACGTACTCGTTTTTATAAACGCCTAATTAAATCGGAATTAATCAGCCCGCTGCGCTTATCGTGTGTGTAACATACACTTTGCCCAAATCCGACCTACTTGAACTGCCCCTAAAGCGGTGACACGAGTATTGTGACGGGTATAATTAAACCGAACTCTCCGGTCCAATCAAAATGATGTGGCGAGAAACATGTGGATCGCTTCCTTTTACGTATTTCAACGGGCAAACATTAAGTGATTGTTCCGATGTATTCAACGGCGACTGACAGTCAGAATGAGTCCTCTCAATGTGCTGTTTCAATTATATAGATTCCTATTACAGAATTTTATATTCCCATTTAGACCTAAACCAGTAATGTTCTACTTATATAAATTCACCCCGTATGTTTTAGGCCACTAGGCCAGTTCAAAAGTCAACTTAGGAAATCATTACTCAAGCGAAAAACAGTTACAGTCAAACTAAAGAAGTATATAGGTTTAGAATAAAAATTCATCCAATTTAAAAATACAAATCCTTGCTCTCTTAACTTGTACCACGCGGCGTTCAAGACCGGGATTAAATCCCGACTAGGTGACAGCCACTCTAATCAACTTTCTCAAGCCATTGCCTCCGAGTGCGACGTGTGTGACGACGGCTTTAACGGCGATTAACCTGTCACGGGCGCTGACGTCGAAGCTTCCAGGTTCTCCGCTAATTCTCGAAATCGTTTCCTATCGCTTTCAACTGAAGTGTTGCATTGCCGCGAGTTAGCGGAGTTCTTTGGCTTCTATTGACAGAAATATGTCTATCTATCGAATCTAAAACGTAAAATATTTACGAACCACGAAATTATCCTTAATTGATTCTACTCTTAGCAAGAAACGAAAAGTGTATTATAAACATCGATTTATATTTATTCTCCAAATTAGTGTATCAACTAAATTCCCAAATCTAATGAATGCAGTCGTTATTTGAAATTAATTTATGAGGGGTTATAGGGTGATATCGATTGAACATCAAAATAAATAAAATATTATTGCACCCATAAGAACTATAACACGCCAATACATTAATAATTGTTATATGTCACAAATTATATTTCCGCGTATATCGTTTCATTTAATTGACAAATGTCTGATTTGAACAACGAGCGAAACTATATCTACCTTACAATTTCCACCAGGATTTATACTTTCTATCCATAGTCAAAACTATCAAAAAATAATTTCAAATGTCGTGTAATATTAACGCAAAACGATTGGTTGGTTTCAGATATGCGTCCAAAGTCAAAATTATTCGGATTCCTTGGATGTAGATTAAATTCAATTGATATATGCTTTTACATTCAAACGCACATACAGGTGATGATAATTGAAAAGTGTTAAAAATCTCTAACGTAGACGTCGATAAATACGTCAGCGTTAGAAATTTACTGCCTGCATTCAGTTACACGTTAAACGAAGACAGGTTCTAAATTCAAATTTAAAACTTAAGGAGGTTCATTAAGCTAGAAATTTACGTCGGGGTGAATTTCTAATGATTGCGTCTATAAATCAAACGAACAAATACACAAGCGCTAACGTCGTCTGTTTGTCTTTTAACGCCAATTAAACTGTCACGGGCAGGACACAGTCGGTGCTATCGCTTAACGCTCCGTGTGCGTCGCTAATTTGTGTAAATCTTCGAATTTCGTTTCCAAACGATTTGTTGCATGCCATTTAATTGAATTAATGTCATAGTTCGCAATAATTCGGGGATTTATTGGAGCGTCAGTCGCGTTGCGAGTGAATGTATGATTAAAAAGTGATTTTTATTGCGCCCAGTTTTAATTTTTATTTATCTTAATGAGATACGCTAAATACAAAGCCCATTGACGTCATCTTTTCTGGTGGATGTCTTTTGTCAACCTTGCCAGTCTCGTCGAGCGTGGTCGTGTCTTAAATGCAACAGTTATCCAATTAATAGTGCAATACTTCATAGTTATAAAGGATTATAAGAAGCGATTTTGTGCATTTAATGAAACAAACTAAACCTGACTTACTTCCAAACCAGTACAGCACCGACGAGAACTCCCACCAATAGGACAATCGAGCAGAGGGCGATCACAGCGGATGTCTGGAATGACGGCCCACTGTGGTTGTAAGCGTCTATCTTCTGAAATAATAAAAAAAATATTATTTTAATACCATAACTTCAAAGTTGTAAGGAATAATAATATAATTATATAAACCAGTATAAATAGGTGGTAACATAGCCACGTGGTGCACGGTGGGTGGATTTTTCCTCAACCCGATAATTACTACTTAATAGGGTTCAATGGTACACTAAGGATATGGTCTTCTAATTGTCATCTGTGTTAATGACTTAGGTCTCATTAGCTTGTACTATGATTTTTCTAATAATGCACGTTAAAAAACTAGGACTGACGTTAGTTTATTTAGCAACTGTTTGGATAGTGGCAGCAATAGTACGATGGAACGCATCACCTAGCTCTATAATCGGAAAACATTGTTAAAATAATGAACGCTTCTTGACTTGCGTGACTCTGCTTGTATAGGGTCTATCTAGCTCGAGGAAACATAGCGTTCCAATCCCTCTGCCCGAAGACAATCTACGGAATGAAATCGTAAACGCCAATCGTCTATCAGAGGCTGATTTATAATCTCGGAATCCCAACGCTCGTCGGATTCGTTAAAAATAGACAGCAACAAAGCGTTAACACACGGAATTCCGTTGCAGCTCTCCGCTTAACGAACACGCTCAAGAGCCGAATCAAACGCTCGGAATGGCCGGCGAAAAGCGCCGACCCAAATCTGATCGAGTGCCGTACGGGCCCCGCGGCAACGGGCGAATTGAACCGCTCCAGTTGTACGGCGCGACCTGGAAGCGACGGGAACGGACGGTACCGCTCGTCAGCTCGTCACGCTTAATTAAGACTACCATGAAAGTGCACTGAGTACTGTCATGTTAACTAGCATAGTTGAGAACTTTGTGTTAAGACTTTGCGCCATTGTTAATTGAAAACTTTTTGCTGCTTGTGAAGATATTATGAACATGGATAAAAACTAAAATAATACAAAAACAAAAAAAAAATAATTCTGACCGATTGCAAAAATGCCATGGTTTCGTAAAACGATCGATGTGAAAACAAAAAAATAAATGAGTATTTCAGGATATATTTTTACACAATGTTATCTAGTCCCAAATAAGCAAAGCTTGTACAAAGCTTGTAGCACTAGATAACTGATAAACGTACTTAAATACACTTTTTTGTGTATTATATAGATATAAAATCGGCCAGATATTAGAAAAACACTAACATATTTCATTAAATTTTTAATTTAATGTTAGTCTATGTGAGGTGAGCATTATCAACTGCTGGGCTTAGTGGCTGGAACTTCAGGATACGTAGTCCGGGAAGCGCAGATTCGATCCCGGCAAAATTTCTCAACAATTTTATCTACACATAACATTATCTACAGAATATATTTCCAATATATTCTGTACTATGTTCACACTCAATTTATATTTTGAGTGAAGATCGAATCCACAGCACATAAAATATCGCAAATGTCGCAATAGGGTCATCAGTAGTCATACTTTGCTGTTTTTATCACACTTCTACTACACTGTTGAAGTAGGCGGTGTACATATGTGGTGGTTAACTTAGTACTTACAGTAATTTTGCTTGCATCCCCCGTTAAAAAGTAGAAAGTGTAAGTGAGATTTAAAAATACCTGACGACGAAATAATACCGTTTAAATGTCCGTTTCCTCTGACATTACGAGCACGTAGACAAATCGCTTTGGCGTTAATTCGCGCAGTAAAAGTGTTATTAGCATAGCTAATTGCTTTGTCTGCCATTACTATAGGGATTAGACTGAGGGATGGCTAACGCTGCTTTTTAAAGTGTGGGTAAAAACTAGATAGCTTATAAACGATAAACGATTGTTCAAATGCTATATAATTATTCGTTTCTCCTTAGTGTCAATTCATGCCGCAACGACTGAACTTAAAGGAAATTTGGGATTGAAATAGTATATGCGATAGCTTATATTTTATATTTATTTATTTTAACTTTATTGACACACCTTAAACTAAGGTCTACAATGGGAGGACTAAATGCCTAATGACTTTCCATACCAGCCAACCATTGTCACGATGAAAAGCAGAAAACAGACAGGTGCTAGCCTAAGATTAAAAAAAAAATAATTATTTTGATTTTACTTTAGAAATCGATTAAAAACATTAAAAATTTGATATCAATTACAACCGGTCGGTTAAAATATTTTAAATAAGTTAAAACAGGAACAAAACTAAAGTATAGTAACTACACGATCAGAAATAAATCAGTGAGTTATTGGATTTGTAACTGAGTTTCATTGCTTTTTTTTAAAGTTTACTCAAGATTTTTGAATAGTCTATTTTTCTGGACTGCAAACGGTCAGAAATTTATGTTTTGGCTATGCTGTGCGTTTTAATTTTAGAAACCTCCGATTAGTTGCAATTAGAACTATGTCTCTCTGTACGTAATTATCGTCCAATTACGGGCGAGCACTCCATCGAATTAATTACTACTCATACTGCAAATAGACGCGACAATACTTATCGTTACAGAAAGATACCGTTTTAGTCTATCAAATACAACATGAGAGCTTTGGGAAATTAATCAAAGCAAATGTATCAATGGAATAGAATAACTCAATTCGGAAATCCTTGGAAAGGATCCAAAGAGAACGTTCACGACGAGACGCCTAGCGCGACTACACAATTGTGTTTGCGATTTATCAAACTTAGCACTCCAATATAGACTATCGGCTTTTTGTGGAAAAAACTACATTGGAACTGGCATTTTGTGTTAGTGCCACAAAGAGTGTCATATATCAAACGGGGGCTAATTTGTCATTTGTATTATGGAAAATCGGTTCGGTGCCAAATTTGTTTAGTATGTGAACTGTGATCGTAGAAACACGTTTAACTCTTTAAGAACTACTAAGGTAGACAAATTATCACTGAACAGTTTTCTGTATACCCAGTTTTTCTTGTAAGACAATCGAAGCTTTGAAATATTTTTGGATGCCACTGCTATTATATTTAACAAAGCAAATGTTTATGAAATCATCTAAGAATTTTGGAGGTATCTAAAGTAAAATACATACTCATACTTTGATTACAAAAATTATCACAATCAAGTCTTTCGAGCTTGATTGGTAGAAATATATAACAATAAAGTAATATAAAATAACTCCATAAACCGTGATAGCTCAGTGTCCAGGCGCTCGCCTTTAATTCAAAGTACTAAAGCCTGAGTTCGGTCCCTGGTAACTGCGGCACTAACGTACGACTCAGCGGTGAAGGAAAACGTCGTGAGGAAACCTGCAAATTTTTGGAATAATAACAGAAAAAAATCATTATTTCTGTAAATTTGTACATTTAGAAGATATGTGAAATCCACCAATCCGAAGTGGGGCCATTTGGTGGACTATGCTCTGATACCCCCTGTACAGAGGAGGCCTATTCCCAGCAGAGGGATATGTATAGGCTGTTACTTTATTCTTTACTGCTTTAAAAATAATTATGTTTGATTGTGATGAGTACATGAGTACATGAGGGTGCTAGGATGTGGTAAAAGAAATTTGCATATTACCCGTATAGGAATAGAATCCGCGAGGTTTATATTGAATAACTTACGATCTAGTTCAGTCACCCAAGGATTAAAGCAATAGTGCTAAAGGAAATCTAATGTGTAATAATAAAAACTATCTTACTAAAATGTTCTGGTTTCTTTCAGGAAGCCGAGAATCACTTTCTTCAAGGTTGGTAGCTAAACTTCAATTCCAATTTCGCGAACGTAAGCGCATAGGTACTGTCAATTGTAATGTTTGCTCTTTTGCTATTGTTAAAAATAAAAGTCGTTTAAGCTGAGAGCATTCGGAATTCGTTGCTTTTCAAATTACTTCGACAATATATCAGCTGCCTTGAAAAAAAAAATTACCACATATTTCAAACCGCACACGTCACTCTATGTATCCTCAAGCTAATTATTGCACCCACGGAACGCACGCCATATTGCCTTAATAACAGGATAGATTTTTTGTTGCGAGGTGTTTCCGAGGGCTGGAGGTGTTTATATATTAATATTTTCGTGCAATAGTCGTCACGCACTGCGTAGGAGTGCGGAACAAAAAAGGGTCATTTGATATAATTTTTTTTACACCCCTCCCGTTCAACCCTAACTGGCGTTATGTTTTTGCGTCCCTTAGTAATAAATGGAGCCGAGACTGCGACACGTATAACTGTTAAGGCAGAAGTTCCGCCTGTTGTTTTATATTATTAGCTAAAAATATGGAATATTGTAAGTAAAAAAGGAAAAGCTGTCCGAGTACTCTTAGTAGGAATACTCGTGAAGAGAAGTACAATATTTATAAACATTATAATATTACTGCACGTGAAATAGGATTCGTATATTTTTTAATACCTATATTTCTATACAAATGTGCTTGATTTTATTATTACTATACCTTCAAATAAATTCGCAAACTAAGTTGAGTCCAACTTGCATTTGGCTTTAATATAATATGCTTACAACCTAGCCTGATGTAAGCATTTTGTAAAAAATAAACAGCTGACTACATTTAATAAAAACAAAATGTGAATACTTTTTTTTTAATTTAGATTTCTTAACAACTTAAAAATTATGCTCTTACAAATTTTTTTCTTTTACAAAATTTGCTCACAAGTAATTTAGAGTATACATTAGAATACATTTTTGGAAATTTTTTATACAGAATAATTCACAAGAGCGGGAAAATCTAAATAAGCTATATACAATCAATCCATATTTATTTGCTTGGCACAATAGAATCTAACAGATTGGCAAGCAATAAAATGACGCCGTTAGGAGTGCTGATGTGTTCCACCATATCAATGCGAATCTATAAACGGCACAAGAGGGGCGTGGAGGGTCGAATAATGTTTTTCCGTAATAAAAACATTTATACGCAACACAGCGAACGCAATTAGCGGGCGTAGTGGGAGGGAAACGGAATTATTATATTCGGTAATTGGATAGATTTTATCGGATTAGGGCGTGCTGTTTGTTGTTTATATCGTCGAATACTGGGGACGGTGGAGAACTTGTGTTTTTATTAGGA